CAGCAATTTACAACTATTAGCAAATCATTTGGATTTCAAGGAATGATTGGAAGTTATCTGGATAGGCTGGAGATAATGATGAATGGTAGTAAGAATTAAAAGATAATTTCTGAAAAAGGATAATTTTTGTTAAAGGTTTTATTAAGTCATTAATGAGGAAACTGGTAATGCTGTTACAACCAGATCAAAGGAGAGCCCAAAGAATGGGTATACTTGTAGCTCAGTAATATTGAGAGGTAAAACTGGTTTTCCATTGGGGTGGGAGCCCAGGCCTGTCCCTTCATTGGATAGCATTCATTTGTATGTCTTTAGTCAAGAATTATTTCATATGGGTATTGGTTACTATAGTTTACATAGTTGTAAAATAGCTCAAACTCTGCATAGTTTCTCCTTGAAGCACGAATTTTTCCCTAGCTGGGTCCACACAGCTAGTCACCCACATGGCATTGAACTAGTAACCCACATGGCATTTCAGCAGCTAGATATGGTCGGTTGACATGCCATGTAAGCTGTTTGCCAACTTTATCCCTCCAACTGCACTTGAGACTAGATTGATCTAACCACAGACGCACAGAGAAGAGACAGCCTGGGAACGGCTGATTAATTCATCAGCAAATATTTCACACATTTGCAAAAGAATGATGCCTTATGGGACAACACGGTATCTGAAGGCTGTGTTTTAAAAATCACTTGTATCTACTCTTGCCATGGTTTTGACCCAAAAGCAGAACTGTCTTGGTCTGCATTTTGAATATGTGGGTCTAATTCATGCCTTTTGGAGCTCTGTGGAGTGCTTCAGTTCAGCAAAGATTCCCTAGTGTTTATTTCTGTTATGTTTTTTGGGGGTTTGGGCGGGGTTGGGAGGGTTGCTGATAGATAATAGGACAGCTTCTTGGTTTTCTGAGAGCCTAAGTCACTTAATACAAAATTTTAGAGAAACTAAGTTAGACTATTTTTTTGTCTTTTTGTCTTTTTATTTTTTAATGTTTATTTATTCTTGAAAGAAATAGACAGAGTATGAGTGGAGCAAAGGCAGAGAGGGAGATACAGAATCTGAAGCAGGCTCCAGGCTCTGAGCTGTCAGCACAGAGCCCGACGCGGGGCTCAAACTCATGAACTGGGAGATCATGACCTGATTTGGACATTTAACTGACTGAGCCTCCCAGGTGCCCCAGACTATTTTATTTCTAACCTTCAGGAGAGTGTTTTTGATGTATTTAGCTTCCTAATTGTCTGTGTTCCACAAAGATCTGGTTCTCAATTTCTTTTTTCTAATGAGATTCCAAAAGAGGATGTCTGCGGAAGGGGGTGGGTTCCAGTCCATCAAGAGGGGATGGGCTCTGGGGTATAAAGCCATTGCTCTTGACAGCTCAGTTCTGAAGACTCCAGACTTCAGGAGGGGTAGGTGGGCATTGTGACATGGACACCCAGCAGGGGGCATCAGGAAGGAGCTGGAGTTAGATCTGAAGGCAGGAAACTGGATTCAGCTCTGGAAGGAAATAAACTCGGGACACAAAAGGAACAGGTAACTCTGGTTCTCTCTGTTTTATTTTGAAGAATGTTCTATGTAGCCAAACTTATGAAGTTTGTTGGTCTGTCCTAGCTTTGATTTGTGGGCACTGTTTCAATTCCAAATTTTCTAGGACAGACCCAATTTGAAAGATTCTATTCTGTTTTCCGATTGTCCCAGGTAGAATTTGGAAAACCTTAGTGCTTACAGCAATAAGCAAATCCAGGGCTGTGGAGAGTCCCATGCAATGAAATGCTTTTAAAGATTGGGGGGGTAGGCAGGGGAAGTAGGAGGTATTTTTTTACTTGCGGTATAATTTGCATATAACATAAAATATGGATTTTAAGTTTGAGTGGTTATAATTGTAAACACCCAGATATCTATATCTCATCAAGATATAGGATATTCCATTATTCCAGAAAGTTCCCCTGTGTTCTATTGCAGTAAGTCCCTCCCCTGTCTTCCCCTAACCCCACCCTAGGCAACCACTGATCCAGTTTCTATCTTGTAAATTACTTTTTGCTGGTATTAGTACTTTATATACCTTACTTGAATTACAGTTTTGTGCCTGGATCCTTTGGCAGAGCATAACTTTTTAAATATTCACCAAGGTTTTGCAATAGCTCATTCCTTTTTATTGTTGATTAAATTAACATTCATTGCTTAAATACACAATATTGTTCATTCGTTCACCTTTTAGTAGACATTTCGGTCGCTTCTGTTTTTCACTATTGTGAGTATATGGATGTTCTTGTATGGATTACCAAATGGTTTTCCAAAGAGTTGTTGGTGGCATTTAAGTTTCCCACAAGCAATGTGTATGAATTCAGCTGCTCTAAATCTTTGCCAACATTTGGTTTGCTAGCCTTTTTGTGGTTAGGCATTCTAGTGGTCATAAAGTATTCTCTGTAGCTTTCTTTTCCACTTTCCTAATGGTATCTCTTGATAAGCAGATATGGTTTTTTGATGAAGTCCAGTTTATCAATTCATTTTCTTTTAAGTTCAGTCCTTTTTGTCATTTCAATGATACATTTTCCAAACCCTATGTCATAAAGGTCTGTTTTCTTCTAGACACTACTCTGTGGTTCCTAGAGTTGATTACATCACATTAGTTTTTGTGTATGGAGTGAAGTAGAGATCAGTGAAGTGCATTTTAAATAAGATAAAAGCTAAAATACACTAGCTCCCTAGAAATGGGTGAAGCCGTCCTCCGATCCTGATTTTGCAACAGAGCCAACAGTAATTAAGCAATTCTCTGGAATCATTTCCCCATACCTTCCTCCAGAATCAACTTGCCTGGATTTAAGCATACTGTGGCTCCTTGCCTTATTTGGATGTTTCACTCCAAGCTATATTCTGTGCTACTTTCATAGTAAGTAGGTTGAAAGGCATAATTAGTTGTTCTGCCCTGCTGTTTGTGAAAGCATACATTTCAGTTTTCAGTAATCACACCTTGGCTTTGCTTCTGACTGATGAGGGGCTTGGCTCCAGCAGTGTTGACAACCTGAAAGGTGGGTTTTTGGAAAGTGTAACAAATACCAGCCTGAACTCTGTTTTTCAAAGAGGCTTTGGAGCCTGGGGAGTGAAACCATTTGCAAATGTCATCTCTCTGGACCAGCTGCCCAAGTCTTCCGGCATTTAGAGGTTATAAGACTCATGGTTATTTTAAATGACCAGTCTGATTCTCTGTTATTTGAAAGTGGTCTTTTGACTGTAGTAACATTCTGGAGAATAATGTGAAAATGAGGCCAGCCCATTTTCAGACCTAGCTGACCTGTCAGCTACCCTCTCTGAGATGACTAGAATGTTTAGTAGGGAGTACTGGGCAGGTGTTGGATGGAGACTAGGGATTCTGGATAGTTTTCTCTTAAATTATTGGCACCTCAGTTCATTCTGGCAGTATCTTTAAAACAAGCATGAAAGAGGATTTGATAAAATGATGCCTTTCCACTGACCAAGTCCCTGATACTCCAGGCTCTCTACTATAGGAAACCTTTGGAAAACCAGGTTTGGAAAAGATCTTTACTTTGACAAGGTCATATATTCCCCTGCCTCAGGGAGCTCACAGCTCTGAAAGCTTTGGCTGTGGAAGGAGAATTCCATCTTCATGATGTGGGTAGTGGAATCTGATCACCTGGAGTCCCCCTAGCTAGGAAGTGTACCCAGTCTACTCCTCAAGGAGCTGCCTACCAGCATGTGCCAGTGTCTACAGTTCTTGCTTTTTAATAGTTGCCTATTATACACAAATGGAAATATACCCTCAGAAATATTTGTGGCCACAAAGTACAGCTATACTTACAGGTGCACATGCATAGTCTACCATTTAGGAAACAGGACACTGACAGTGCTTGCAATTTGGATAAAGTCCATATTGGCATGAACCTAATATGGTCCCCCATGGCATAGATGAACAATATGTGAAAAAATTTGTTTGCTCAAATATGGAAAAGATCTTGTTTACACAATGAGTCAATAAGTTAACTAACTGAAGGAAATACAGCAAGGTGGATGGCTGTAGACTTCAGCAAGCAGAAAATGTGAGTGCTAGGTTTACCTTGCAACTCAATCCAAATGAGATCCTGGCAACAACAAAAGCCAGTTTCCTTTTTGTCAAAATGATAATGACAAAGAACTCCTTTTACAACCAATATAAGAAAATTGGGAGTTTCAGGGACAATATTATAAGTCAAAGAACACTTGAGATTATTGGCAAAGCTATGCACATTCGTATGGAAAAGCTAGTTGGAAAGACTTAAAGATGTGGTTAAAGAACAGTAGAAGTGGGGAAAGTCAATAATGTGGTAACGATTGCAATGGAAGAGGAGATAAAAACATGAACTCTGATATCAAGAGACTGGAAACAATGTAAGAAGAGGCATAAAAAGAAACTGTTCCGAGGCAGATAAAAACAAAAATAGGGAGAATCCACCCCAACCTGATCATCGTTGAAACACAAGTAAACCTTAAATGTTTTTAAGAGGTGGAGAAAAGTTGATGAGCACTGTACAATAAAGTTGGTTTACATACACTAACACAGGGATTGTTAGTCTGAAGAAGGCTACAGCATCCCACATACGCTGAAGAAAGGGAGGTGGCCTTAAAAACATACGGTCTTCCAGAAACGGACCCCATGGAGAGCCTGAGAGAAGAGACTGGAGACTTGGCTAAAGGGTCCCTAGTGAATGTTAATGAAAAATAATCATCCGTTTCTTACCAACAAAAAGAGAAAGGAACATATCCTTTCCAAAATAATTTAGATGGGTCTCTTCCCAATGCAAGGTACCTGTAGTCTCCAGAGCTCAGACAAAGGTCACATGTGCTGGCTGATAACCCAAACAGTGCACGTGACCATTTACTACCGGGGCCCACGTGATGCAATGCAAGTGCGGAGATGGCGCAACTTGGTTAAAAGTTAGTGCTCTCTAGTCCACTGGGCAGGGACAGCAGGAGAGTGCACCCTGTAGGGGAGGGAGGGGCTCTGTAGCTGGTGAGTGAAGCAGAAGTGCTTGCTCAGGGCACACCTCTTCCACTGGCTGTTGCTAATGAGAGCTCTCCTTCTGAAGTGCTTTCCTACACGGCACCCCCCGCCAACCAAGGTAAGTTCAGTGGTAGATTCAGCTACTGCTCCAAGTTTCCTCCAGAAAGAGCAGCTGATTTACTCAGCCTCTCCTGTTATTTCTGGCATTTTCACTCTAGATTTCAAGCCACGATAGTCCAACAAGCTGACTTTTGTTTGGAAGATGTCTTTGTATTGTATTTTCTTTTCATCAACAGCCAAAATAATGTTCTTGTGCCTTTTAAAAAAAATGGTAATGGAGCGTATGAGGAATATGCGAGAAATACTACTGCAGGAACAACCTTTCAAAGGATTATCTTAAGCACAGAAAGAGGAAGGGTCAACATCTTGCTTTCAGAAGCATCAAGTCAGAAAATCAATCCAATTCATGACCTTGGTTTGGAGTCAATGAAGTGAAGGAAAGTGTAGAGTATTCTCTAGGGGGAGGATATTATTACAGCATCAAAGTTCATGATCAATGGAAAAGTAGCAAAAGAATAGGCTTTTGCATGATGGCGCTTTGCTGTGAAGGCTGAGGCCTCTGAGAAAGAACAAGTGTTCTATGATGATGTTTACAGGGTGCTTTTGAGGTACATGTGTGAATATTTAGTCCTATATTTTCCTCTGCAACTTCTTTTACGTTTTTTTATGTTTGTTTATTCTTGAGAGAGAGAGGGAGTGTGTGTGTGTGTGTGTGTGTGTGTGTGTGTGTGTGTGTGTGAGTGGGGCAGGGGCAGAGAGAGAGGGAGACGGTATCTGAAGTGGGCTCTGCACTAACAGCAGAGAGCTTGACTGCAGGGTTCAAACTCATGAACCATGAGATCCTGACCTGAGCCGAAGTCAGACACTTAACCTGCTGAGCCACCAAGGCGTCCCCTCCTCTGCAACTTTTAATCCCATGACTGTGTCCCACAGAGATGTAATATACAATGTGATCATTTTTGTATATTTATATATTGATAACCCAAACAAAATCCAAAAAAATGGGTTCACTCTGCGGTTCATTTTGATTTTTAATATATTTTTCTGCAGCATAAAAAAAAAAAACATTATGTTTACAACTCACTGAATGTTTTTGATACCCGCAATCTGAAAAACGCTGTTGTAAAACAAACAAGGAATTGGAATCTTGAGGGGCCGACCAGGCCTCTCAACACAAGGGCTAAGATTACTGAACTTGAAATTGGAAAAAACGAGTACAAATTCAGGCTCTAATGCTCATTGAAGGTGAAAACCTGCACAAATATTACTGCCTCTGGCCCTCAATTTCCTCATCTATACAATGAGGACAATACCGTCTCCTCTACCTACCTCACAAAATTGTCAAGGAAAAAATAATTTTCCAAATATAAAAATCATAGACTGTCTAACCTGATTATCATTGTCATCATCTTGATGCCAGAAAAGAACAGCATCTCTTCAATAAAATAAAAACCAAACGTGATAATCAATACTTCAGACTTTATGAGACCATTAGCCAGAGGTTTGTCCAGTAGAAGAGAATGATTTTGGCTGTACCTAGATTGTTGAGATGGAAACCCAGGGACCACGTCGACAGTGCCTCTGGGGATGGTTGGTGAGGAAATGAGAGGAAAACGTCCAGGAGGTGAGAATGGTGCCCCAGAAGTAGGAGGTACCGACCCGTCCAAGGAGAGGGGAGATGTAAACTTGGCACCAACAGACCCGACCCTGAACTCAATCTTAATCTTTCTTAGCTGAATGGCCATGAGCCATGAGGAGTCTCCATTCCCATGTCTGAGAAATTGGGGACATTTTAAAGACATAGAAAAAATATGTAATTACAGTTGATCCTTGAACAGCATGGGGATTCGGGATGCCAACCCCCTGCACAGTTGAAAATGCAGGTAATCAGCTTTTGACATAATTAACTACTAATAGCCTACTGTTGACTGGAAGCCTCACTGATAACAAAACAGTCGATTAACACCTATTTTGTATGTTATATGTATTATACACCGTTTTCTTACAATCAAGTAAGCTAGAGAAGAAAATCACAAGGAAGAGAAAATAGATTTACAGTACTGTACTGTATTTATAAAAAAAAATCCACCTGTAAGTGGACCCATGCAGTTCAAACCTACTGTTCAAGAGTCAGCTGTATAACACATAATATTAAATATAACAAATTAGGGGCACCTGGGGGGCTCAGTCCGTTAAGTGTCAGACTTTGACTCCAGTCAGGATCTCGCAGTTCGTGGGTTCAACCCCACGTCAGGCTCCGTGCTGACAACTTGGAGCCAGGAGCCTGCTTCGGATTCTGTGTCTCCCTCTCTCTCTGCCCCTCCCCTGCTTGCACTCTCTCTCAAAAAAATAAATAAACATTGTTTAAAAGGTAAAAAATGTTAAATATAATAAATCTATATTATGTACTATATAATTATAAGTATATTTATTTCATAGACCCATATTTAATAATTATAATTATTATATAATAAATATCTGCATATGATTATGTTATATAAAAATCTAATAATTATAGATAAATATATATAATGTATATAATTAGGATTGTTCTAGGGATTAGAGATAATAATTAAAGGTCTAATACAATAACGGGTATGATGCTTGGTATAAAGCAGGAGGGAAGCAAACAGTAGCTGATAGGTTGTTGTCATCTTACCTGTGCGAGTTGCAGGCTCTCAAGTAAGAAAAAATAAATCAGTGCCTTCAGAAGGTGGGTGAAAAGTCATACTGGGCTGGAGAATTTCAGATACCTATATGTGTGCCGTGATGACAGAAGGAGCCGGAACCGTGCTATTTATCCAGTGCTAGATACAGACACTCCAGGGTTTCTACTGGAATTTGGGCTGAATTGGACAAAATGGGTCACAAACAGGGAGTGATGTATGCACATGAAAGGGTGGATGGGTTGAGGCAGACAGCATGAGAGGCGTATCCATAACATCACAGTCACCTGAAGATGTTTCTACCTTTCCTGGACTCTTCAGGCCCTAGGGAGCCAGAAAAGAATTTTAGGGTCTCAAGTCTGCTCTTGTGTAGTTTTGCAAAACTCCCTGGTTGATTTCCATCCACTTCCCCATCCACCCTGTTAGGATCCAAGGCTGTGGCATGGAGCCAGTTTCCCCAGGGGTCTGGGTAAGGGGCAAGTGTTCTTGGGCCTCCTGTGTCAGAATCACTCTGTGTATACATACAGATTTCCGGACCCCCACACCTAATGACCCACACACTAGTGATAGAGTCCAGGAGTCCATATTTTTACCAAGCTCTCAGGCGATCTGATATGCTGGTCAAGTTTACACAGTCTTTGTTAACTGACCAGCATAGTAAAGGATTGAAACTAGTGCTAGACAAAGAAACTTTGGGGTGGGGGAAGGTGAAAGAACAGCCAGACATCCGTCTCTTAGAAGTCTCCCAGTGGGCAGTGATGATGGCTGTAGCCCTGAGGGCCATAGAATAGATACTAGGCAAGACGTGGCCTTGTTAAGGGTCTGGGAGCTCCTGTTGCCATTAAACCAGGAAACTTGAGCCCCTCTGCCCAGGCCTTCTTGGTTAATGGATTCCTGCTAATGTTTGGTTAGATGCCTTCTCCTATTTCCTCTGGCAGAAAACCTAGCTTTGGAACATGAGTTTGTTTCTGTGGGGCAGAGGCTTGAAAAGGAGTGAGGAAAGGAAGCCCAGTATCCTAGGATGCAGGTATGAGCTCCCCAGATATTCCTCTGTTATTTCCAGCTAAGGTCAGACACCTTCCCTCCTTGTCTCCTCATTAAGCCAAAATCACCGTGGATTCTCCAACCTGAAAAGAGCACAGGAAAGAGAAGAGCCTGTGTTTGAGCAGCAACTCTATGCCTGACACAGCACCATATCCTTTCCAGATGTCAAGGCACTTGATGCTCATGGAGAACCCACACACGTAGTTAGCATCATTAACCCATTTTAGATATGCACAATGAAACTGCAAGGTATTTGTCGAATTAGGGACCTCCCTCACCTTTACCTGATGCAGCTAGCAGTATACTCTAGAAAAGTGGACATATCTTTCCTAGTTCTCAGTGGTGAGATTTGACCATCAGCTCCTTCTTTCTGCAAGACATACCATATGTTGGACACTCTTCTAGGCACTAGGCTTAGAGCAGTGAACAAACCAAACAAAACACCCTGCCTTCCTGCTTACACTGTAGTGGGACATAGACTGTCTTTTCCTGTGTGACCTTCCTCACCAAATCCAGTTGGGTAGCGTAATAGAACAGTTAAGAAATGAAGGGACAGATCATCTAGAGGACTCTTAACAGCCCAGGGAGCCATGAGAGTTGTGCTAGTTCTCTGAGATGCATGGAGAAGATGAAGATGATGACTTGAAGTTAGTGGACAATCCATGGTCAGCATAGATGGAGAGAATGTTCTAGATGTAGAGTCTGCAGATGTTACCCCATTAAGACTACCCTTTGAAAGACAGGCAGGCCTCAAGAATTGCCGACCCCTGATAGACTTTTAGACTTTTCTATGAGAACATTACTTACAAAAAAAAGAAGGCCCCATCAGTTCACTGATGTTTCTAGCAACCACTCAGGAAGAGATAAATCCCAAGCATTGAGGGCTGAGGGCAGTCAAACCCAGTATGCTCTTGGCAAAATTTTCACCTTATCAGCATTGCTTGCAATTATAATCCCATCCAAATTTTGATTTCCATTTTCTCTGCACAGCTGCATCGAGGGTTTTGTTGACATAAATGGACAGTGTTACCCTCATTTAACTCAAGGTGAGAACTACGTAGTGGTCTGGAGTCACCTTATGAAAAGATGGGGTGGGTGGCAGACTGATGGTGTGAGTCAGGAGGCCCTCCCCACCTCCCTAACCCCTAGCAAAGCTCCTCTTCCTGGATCCCTGGAATTCCACTCAGTGACTTGCTCTTCTGGAGTGAGCATTACTTTCCCTATTTTGAGTCCATGTTCAAACTACAATTGACCTGGGAAGGTCTGCCTATGTAGTAAGTCATAATCTTCAAGATGAATGTGTTCATGAAAACACTTTCTCCCCTCACTACAAGGGGATGTTGTCATTGTAGGTTACTACCAGCAGCCCAGTTGAAAAAGGCCATCAGAGTGAGACAGAGTGCACCAGGGGAAAGGACCCAGATGGAAGTCATGGAGATCTGGATTCAAATCTTGACCATGTGATTTGAAGCCAGTTGTAGGACACCTTGGATCTACCATCGGCTCAACCTCGGAATTGGGGGAAACAGTGTATATTTTACAGTTATTATTAGGACTTAATTAGATAATATGCAGAAAAGCATTATACTCGCAGCAAGTTAGTTTCCTTCCTATAAATTATCTCAGAGAACTTAACCCCATCCAAGGCCACCAAAAATGTATATACTTTGTAAGTAGAGCTTGGTCCAAATTAGGAAGGAATGAGGAGGAATTTTCCTATTGTGGATACTCCATTGGACTTTTTGTCTGAAGTTTAAACTTCAAGCAATCTTATTTGTGGGTTAGGAAAAAGGTATAAACCATTAATGAGCTGCCTGCCCCACTGAGGGGTGTGAAGCTGCAGACTGAGACAAGAAATGGACACTGTCATAATGAAAAGTGGAATAACAGTCAACAAAGTGATGCCTTTCATTTCCAACATAGAGTTAGCATCAATCAGGGAAAGGGGGGAAACATGGGAAAATGGCCAGTCAGATCTGTACCTGATTTAATTTTTTTTAACTGAGGAATTATAAATTCTCAGGTTGGAGACACTTGTAACAAAAGCATCTTGGATGTCCATTATGTGTCAAGCACAATATTAATTAAAGGATAGTCTACTGGAGAGATAAATACGTAAATAAACACATGAGATTCAGTGTGTTAAAGATTTCTTGGTCACAGTGCAAAATATGGTGGGCAGATTCATAGTAGCTTGATCGACTAAATGGATTGTAACTCCTAAAGTTACTTCACCTACCACATGGACACCAGTAATTCTCCAATCAATGTTTTACTTACTCTCAAACATCAATTAACCCATTGTTTACCATTTACTAGTAACTACTCGTTATCATGTTTGTGATTGGAGAACACTAGAGAAGTGTTACCCTGTGCCAGCAATAATGAGCAACAAGCTGGTTGACAAAGGAGGGTTTAACTAGCACACCTAAGGAATATTTGAGAACACTTATTCATCACTCACCCCTTCCATTTCAACTACAGACAGATGAAACATAATCCTTTCACAAAATGTTTAGCAGTCAGTTTTTCTTTATGTCCAAGATACCAAACATAATGAAACATCACCTAATGTTGGCTTTGTTTCCATTTGATCAGCAATGGGTTGTTTCAAAACGTCACCGAGTCATTCCTGGATTTACCCCACTGTGATCCTGTGCTTATTTGGATTTTTCTCCATGATGAGACCTTCAGAACCCTTCCTAATCCCGTATTTATCTGGACCAGATAAAAACCTGACCAGCTCAGAGGTAAATTAATACATACACATATCTGAAGGTGGTTTAATTTTACAGCATCTGAATGAGACTTTGGGGTTAGGGTTTCTCTCAACTTGAGACACTAATACACTGACCTCAGTGATCCTACATTCATGGTATTTGAATTTTAATACAACTGTTCAAACTACTTTTTCCTCCTCACACTTGCAAAATGGAAAACCAAAACACGCTATACGTGTAATAACTATTTTAACTTTTGTGGAGTCCTACCATTAATTTCAATGCATGCTAACTTTCAGGTCTCAATTGATTTTGTTAGACTAATCCTAAAGTAAAATCTCTGCCAGGCACAGGATCTAGTCCTAATAACCTCTTATGTTCCGGAAGGTATGAGCAGGATCTGATAAAGAATTGTGTCATTTCTGTGGGACACTTACTCAGTCCTGAAACCTATTTATCAATAGGTGAGACATTAACAGCTTTATCTCTCGGTTTTAGTTTCTCCTGAAGGCCAAATTCTCTTACTTAATAGTTTCGCCTCCCTTTTTATAACAAGTGCAATAAGAAAATGCACTCGCCTGGGGCGCCTGGGTGGCTCAGTCCGTTAAGCATCCGACTTCAGCTCAGATCATGATCTCAGGGTTTGTGAGTTCGAGCCCTGTGTCGGGCTCTGTGCTGACAACTAGCTCAGAACCTGGAGGCTGCTTCATATTCTGTGTCTTCTTCTCTCTCAGCCCCTCCCCTGCTCGCACTCTGTCTCTCTCAAAAAGAAAAAGAAAAAGAAAAAAGAAAATACACTCACCCAACAGGAGCGCCACCAAGGGCTAGTTTTATAACCTCCAGCCACAGCCATGAGAAACACTGCAGGGTGTGCGGCTCCACCTAGAAGGCTAATTGATGCTAGTTAATTTGGTGGTGAGGTGCTAAGAACAGAAAAGCAAGCTTGTTGTGGGGTGATATAAAATCACTTAAGGGCAATTCTGCTTCCCTTTCTTTCCAGACGGAAGCATGTCCTTACTGATACAAAACAAAGGGCAAAGACAGGTCCAAAATCAGCCAGTGAACCCACTGGGGGCTCTTCTGTGATCACTATGGACCAGTTAATGCACTCATGCTCAGAGGTGCCACTCAGTCCCACTAGCCTGTCAAATCACTAAACTTTTCTTCTTCATTGACCTTGGGACCCAAAGAGGTTGCTGTAGACAGCAGAGAGGTGCAGGACAAAGGCTCGTGTAACTGAGCCGCTGCCACACCCATCCTGCCCCAAGGTCAACTCCTAAGGTCGGTCCTTCCTTTCTTTGAACCATCACTGAGTTCCCCTGCATTTCTGATGACAGCCATGTGATGCCCACATCAAATTGAGGCCAGAACTGAGCAAGCAGAGATTAACCAGTAGAATTGGGAGGGAAGAAAAGGGTTTGGGAGCCCAGCAAATTTGGCCAGGAAGAAAATTCTGTGTGCTACATGTTCCCACTTTGTAATTCTGCAAGGTAATTGACTCTTTGCTGTCTTCACATGTGCTCATAGACTGTGGATATTTATGACATGGTGATGGATCAAATGAACAATTCTGGGGCACCTGGGCGGCTCAGGAAGTTAAGCATCTGACTTTGCCTCAGGTCATGATCTTGCAGTTCTTGGGTTCGAGCCCCCCGTCAGGCTCTGTGCTGACAAACTAGGAGCCTGCAGCCTACTTTGGATTCTGTGTCTCCCACTCTCTCTGCCCCTCTCCCACTCATGCTCTGTCTCTGTCTCTCTCAAAAATAAATAAACATTTAAAAAATTTTTTTAAAGTTGTTTGATTCTTCTAACATTACAGCCACTTTGTCTAGTGTTAAAATCTTTGAACAAGAAGGGAACGGTGTATTTTAAGAGCCTGAAAACCCCAGAAGGGTCTGTTGAACAGTTGTTGACTAATTTAACTCAAATGTACATACTATTTAAATTTTAAAAGAGTTCAGATTGCACATTAAGCAAATATATTCTGTTGGGATTCGCATACATTTATAAATTGGTTTTATTTTAGAGGAGGAGGAGCTGTCTTTTCCTTGAAAAGCAGTTTTCCATTGTGCTCTTCCCTAATATGGAGACTATCCTATCCAGCTGGAGGCAGAATCTGATACTGGGCGAGCCGCCTGTACCATAGCAATGTACTGCCTGAAAAGGTATCTCTTTCACCTCCTGGTGCTTTATGGTCACACGATCCGTCTTTCAACCTCACAGATCACAAACGAGATCCTTCCCATCTGGACCTACTCTTACCTGGCCCTCCTGCTCCCAGTGTTCATCCTCACCGATTACGTCCGCTACAAGCCAGTCATCATCCTACAAGGGATCAGCTTCATCATCACCTGGCTGCTGCTCCTGTTTGGCCAGGGAGTGAAGGCCATGCAGGTTGTAGAGTTCTTCTATGGGATGGTCACCGCCACCGAGGTGGCCTACTATGCCTACATTTACAGCGTGGTCAGCCCAGAGCACTACCAGAAAGTGAGCGGCTACTGCCGGAGAGTCACGCTGGTGGCCTACACGCTGGCCTCGGTGCTGGCCCAGCTCCTGGCGTCCCTGGCCAGCCTGTCTTACTTTTACCTCAACGTCATATCCTTGGTCTCCGTCTCTGTGGCCTTTCTTTTCTCACTTTTCCTACCGATGCCTGAGAAGAGCATGTTTTTTCATGTAAAACCCAGCAAAGAAGCACAGAAGCCACCAAACAACACTGCAGTGTTAGATGAAACTTACAAGGTTAACACACCAGGCGGTAGAAAGAAACCCACTTCAGAAATACCCACCATTTCAGGGACCCTGGATGATCGGTGGTCGAACAATCCACTGCCAGGAAATGTAGCTTTGAGTGTTTTTGTGCAGTGGTTCAAAGATTTGAAGGGTTGCTACTCCTCAAGGCATCTTTTTTACTGGTCCCTGTGGTGGGCTTTTTCCACGGCAGGTTTTAACCAAATTTTGAACTACGTTCAAATCCTGTGGGATTACAAGGCACCATCCCAAAATTCTTTCATCTATAATGGGGCAGTAGAAGCTATTGCAACCTGTGGAGGTAAGGAAACATTGATTTATCTTTCTTTGATGGGCTACTCTATTAAGTTTGTCTCCAGTTGCTAAACTCAACTCCATGGCCATTCTGCTCAGAAGGCATAATAATCTTCTTATCTGTCTGTCTGTCTGTCTGTCTGTCTGTCTGTCTCTCTCTCTTTTGGAATGGAAGGTACAAGAGATAAAAAGAAAAAAAGGACCATGACACTCTTATTTAGAATTACAACAAATAACTCAAGAGCTCAGGATTATGCACCAAATGATTAAATTCTAGCCAAATTCCTAAGATTCCATTTCATCCTCAGGAAAGGTGTTAATAATGCCCCTTGTTCTTCCAGGATTGTTTTTAATATCAAAAGGAAAATACTCGCCTTGTGTATAAGTAAGTAGTTTTTATTATTTTAGAAAATGGATGACTGTTAAGTCCAGATTACCAGTGAAAGAGTTTTGTTAATAAAGGATTTGATTCACCATTAAATTCTTCCTAATCCTCCTATATGTGCAAACATGGTATCTGTCCTTCTCTGCCTGACTTATTTCGCTCAGCATAACACCCGCAAGGTCCATCCATGTTGCTACACATGGCCAGATTTCATTGTTTCTCATTGCCATGTAGTATTCCATCGTATAGATAAACCACATCTTCTTGATCCATTCGTCCATTGATGGACACTTAGGCTCTTTCCATGTTTTGGCTATTGTTGAGAGTGCTGCAGAGGATCATGGGGGAGAAGAAGGGGAAAAATAGTGGAGAGGGAGGGAGGCAAACCATGAGAGACTCTTGAATGCTGAGAACAAACTGAGGGCTGATGGGAGTGGGGGAGAGGGGAAGGAAGGTGATGCGCATGGAGGAGGGCACTTTGGGGATGAACACTGGGTGTTACATGGAAACCAACTTGACAATAAACTATTAAAAATTTTTTAAAACATAAAAAATTAAAAAAAAAGAAATAAAGGATTTGATTCAGCTCGTGCTTACCTTTAGCCATTTTAGGTTCAACACCAAAAATCTCCAAAAGTAGCTTTCCTAAGAGATCTAAATGAGAAGTGGGATATATGTGAGTCAGGATTCTAATGTCAGAAGGAAATCTGCCTTTGAAGTTTACAATAAATATTTATATCCTGGTAAATGGAAACTTAAATTCAACTGAGACTTTAAAGATATTTTCTAGGAAGTCAGAGATTTCCACACCCTCATTTATTTAAAAAAAAAAAAATGTCAGAAATCTCATGTAGTGACCCTTCTCTTATTCTCTCTTTTGGGAGGCTTCATCTTAACTCCTTCAAATCAGGACTGCACTGGAATTGGTTTCTTGAAATGATTTCTCCTATATTCCAAGATCTAGGGGGAAAAAATAATTTTATTTCCTTTGTAGCACTGGTTCTTTCCTGGATCACACATGGAAAGTGAATTAATCAAACATTAGTAATTTGAAATATAAATACCTTTCATTTTGTTAAAGAGAACTATAAATACTAACCCTATTTACTGTTAATTATTATTCAATCTCTTTTTTTAAGGCTTATTTATTTATTTTGAGGAAGAGAGCATGCTCAAGTCCGAGCAGGGGCCAGGGCAGAGAGAGGGAGAGAGGGAATCCCAAGCTGACTCCATGTTCAGCACTGACCCCGAATCACAGAACCCCAACACAAGGCTCAGTCCCACGAACCGTGAAATCATGACCTCAGCCAAAATTAAGAGTTGGATGCTTAACTGACCAAGCCACCCAGGTGCCCCAATTATTCAATCTCCTAAACTGTGTAAGTCAATATAGCGTTCACCCAAATGAGGCCAGATCTCAAAGACATTGAGATAGAGACTAAAAGATAAAGATTACTAATAAAGACAAAAATGTTCTACTCAGGGCACCTGAGTGGCTCAGTTGATTGAGCGTCTGACTTTGGCTCAGGTCATGATCTCACAATTTGTGGGTTCCAGCCCCGTGTCGGGCTCTGTGCTAATGGCTCAGAGCCTGGAGCCCGCTTTGGATTCTGTGTCTCTGTCTCTTTCTGCTCCTCTCCTACTTGCACTCTGTATCTCTCTCTCTCTCTCTCTCTCTCAAAAATAAATAAACATTAAACATTATTTTGAAATGTTCTACTCAACACAACACATCTGTTACCCACTGAAAAATTTTACAATAAAAAAATGACAAAGAAAGGCAAGTGTGGACAAACCAGGTGTACTACCAAAGCAGCTGCTTCATTCTTCTCTCTTTGCCCCTCACATGTTGTAGCACGTGACTGAGTTTATGTATCATTTCTCCCCAGTCTGCTGTGGTAAAGAGCCTTTCTGGCCCCTCTCTCTGCATGGTACAGTACATGGCATATAGCAGATACTAATTAAAACTGATTGGAAGAATATGAGGTAAAGGGAGAAGTCATAAGAAAGCATGGTTGAGAAAAAGATAAATCCACATGTAGGTGGCTCATGCTATTTTGGTGAAAGCCATATATTCATCTTGTACATTTACCTATGACCTAGTTTTTTAAAGAGAGCATGTTGATATATCTGGTGTGTAAAGTCAATGTGTTAGATCTCCCTTAATGTTTCTTTTTCAGGGGCTGTGGCTGCCTTTGGCGTGGGCTTTGTGAAGGTCAACTGGGATCTCCTGGGAGAGTTGGCTCTAGCGATCTTCTCCATAATTAGTGCAGGCTCTCTGTTTCTCATGCATTACACAACCAACATCTGGGCATGCTATGCTGGTTATTTGATATTCAAGTCCAGCTATATGCTTCTTATAACCATAGCAGTGTAAGTATTACCAGCCACGTCTCTCCACTCTATACCCACACCATATTCTCTCTTCTGTTGCATTTCTACAGTCCCTTGCAGAATTTCAGAAGGATTTTAATCAAATGAACTATTAAATGTTGATTACATAATTTGGACACAAGTAGGCCATGTTTACATTTAACTATTTCCCCTCTGAATGTTGCTAAGATTAGTCATCAAAGAAAAAAAAAGTTCTGTGCGTTCATCAACCAAAAGCAGTGATATACCCTCAGGTTGCAATTTTTATTTCAAGCCATTTGCCATCATGGGGTGTGGTACAATCTGGTTTTGAATGATTGCATGTAGATTTCATCACTAATTTCATTTGGTTGCATGATTGTAGGCATATACCTTTGTGTGAAGCAAAATATACTCAGCAAGTTATAAAAAGTTGTATTTTGAAAAAAAGTAAATGCAAAAAATTATAAGAAACTGTATATCCCAGAAATCTTTTTTTTTTTTAACAGTGAAAAACATTTTGTTCCATATAGAAGTGCAGAGAAACTGGACTATAGGAAATGTGCTTTGGTATTAACCGAAGAGATAAGAAACATTTGAATTTCAAATCACAGGAAAGAAGTAGAGCCAAACACTGTATTAACTTGTAGTTTTTAATGTGTGAAAAATATTTGATAAGCAATTGATGAAGCATAGAAATATAAGCACCCTGGGAAAAGATCATGGAACAAAAGAGAGAGAATAAATTTGTTGGCAGGTTTACTTTTTTCATGGAAATATGTCAGTTCAATGAATCAAGCTCATGTCACTTAAGTTTCTTTTTTTAATGTGAGGACATTGTTAAGGTAGGATTACATTACTTCTTTTCATGTTAAGAATATTCAGAACCCAAAGCCTTTCACCTTTGTTCCAAAGAACAGCACTTAATAACGTACATTTGCCACTCATTCATGAGTTGTAAGGTGTCAAAATCTATATAATTATCAAAAATACATTAATTACAGATTCAATCAACTGCATAGCCAGGCGTGATCTGATCTTCCAACGAATAAATAATTCACCAACAAAAATGTGAAGCTATTAATGCAATTGACAGTAAAAAGAATAACTCTCTAAACGATTCCATAGATTGGATGTTGCTTACATTTTCACAAAAATTCACTGCGAAAAGGTATCTAAAATCAGATAGTATCAAATATTCTCAGGTTATGAGAACTTAGAACATTTAGGCTTAATTTCTGGAGGCATTAAATTGGAGAGGAGGAATTTTGTCATATTTCTTTCAACTGTATTTTAAGTCGCCTTTCAACTGTATGTTTTCATTCACTTTCTTTGTTCTTCCTGTTTGTCTAAACTGGAGGAGATTTAGACAAAAAGTACTGGTAACAAGACCCATGTTTATCTTCAGTTTCTGTCTTTTAAAGGCAAGAATCCCATGTGTATTTTGTTTCAAAAAAAAAAAGTAATTCAACGTTTCATGATAGATTTCAGATTGCAGTTAATCTGAGTGTGGAACGCTATGCCCTGGTGTTTGGAATGAACACCTTCATGGCCCTGGTGATCCAGACCATTATGACAGTGATCGTGGTAGATCAGAAAGGACTCAACTTGCCAATCAGCATTCAGGTAAAAATACAATATTGCTGTTCTTCCTAGCATTCAGGTTGTTGGGGGGAATGTAGAATCCTTAGGTAATCTCAAAGGGTTTTTTTTCAACATCACTGCTGCCAATACTTAATTTCTTGAATTACTTAGCTAAATCTTTCAGTAAGCAATGTCTTAATTATCCTACTGTAACACACAAAGTAGGTTTTCAGCAGTCATCACAATCAGTTAGCACTTGCCTGTGGCCCTTAACGTCTCATAATGTGATGCTCTGGCTTTTGTGTCTCCCACATGTCTGCTCTTTCCAAGGCTTAGGGGATTCAACTAAGAATGTTACATGGCCGCAGAGCTCAGTTCCTTTTCCTGACTCCGGGGAAGTACTTGAAATCAGCCCGACTTCACATTTTACATATGGATCTGGAAAAGGAGGGGATAAGGCATGTAGGAATTAACTCATTACCTAAAATTCACTCTTGGAGACATTATATATAGCATTGCACTGTCCTGCAAACGTACACATGTATCTGTAGGAGTTAGTGATATTTTTCACTATTGGCAATGTTAGCTGGAGTTTGAACCCAAGCAATCTTGGCTCTAGAACCCACATTCTTAATTACTGCATTTCTTTTTTTTTTTAATGTTTATTTATTTTTGAAAGAGAGAGATAGAGAATGAGTGGGGGAGGGGCAGAGAAGGAGGGAGACACAGAATCCGAAGCAGGCTCCAGGCTCTGAGCAGTTAGCACAGAGCCCGACACGGGGCTCGAACCCACGAACTGTGAGATCGTGACCTGAGCTGAAGTCGGACATTTAACAGACTGAACCACGCAGGTCCCCGCAGTTACTGCATTTCTTATACTTTTGTACTTTATTCTTCTAAGATAGAAGAAAGTATTGTGCAAGTCTAAACGACCCCTATTAAGATCATGTGTCTTAGTTATCCCATAATCCAAGCAAACTGACAGCATCACTCTGTGTTATCAATAACCTACAATCATATTTTGTGTGTATGTAATTAATTCTATTTGTTTTTCTCTAGTTTTTAGTTTATGGGAGTTATTTTGCAGTCATTGCTGGCATTTTTCTAATGAGAAGCATATACATCATCTGCTCAACCAAGTGCCGAGAGCAGGCCCGGAGCTCTGCTACAAGTCAGAATCCCTCTGAGCCCCACGCAAATGGACCCAGGAGTGTTAACATGGAAACAAGACTCTAACCGTATGGCAACCACTGCATCCACTGAATAAGGACCCTCTTGGTCACAAAGTCACTGACTGACATAAAGTAACACACTTCCTAAATCTGGATTTCAATGAACCTTTTCAAAACCACAACAAAATACCAGTTTTAGACCAGATGTCTATGTGCCCAACAAGTCCCATCATCTCAATCAAACAACCCGTGCTGGGGACCCCAGTGGGTAGCAAGAACTGGGCAATTCTGGTTTCGAGTACTCTCTAGGACATGCAAATGGCACAGAAACAAGCCATGAGACACTTCCGCCATTCTGGAGTTGATGTTCCCGACTCCTAAGCAGAAATACTAACTGGACTCACCCTTTGTTTGGCTTAGGTATTTGTTCTATCTTACTGAAACTGGCAAGAGATAGGACATTTTTGTCACACAGCCATTTTCTTTCTTCTTCTATTAAGTATATGTCTATATAACAAGCATTTCTGTAAGAGAATTTCAAGGCTTGGTCCCATTTCTAAGGAACCCTTTTCAATCTTGATAACATGACATTATTCATACACTCAAATGTGATAATATCACCATATAATTTTGTCATGATTACTTTTTACCTTATGTTCTGCTGAACTTTGTTGTTGAAACTCTACCTCAGGAATAGCTCCAGACATTCCTGGATGTCCACAGAATGACATTCAAGTCAATTCTTGGTGGCCATCAGGGAGGCAATGAGCATTCTCCTTACCGTGACCCCAGATAGGTGTTTTATTGCTGTATCCATGTGATCTCTGTAAAACAGAGAAACTTTAGTGGAAATTTCCAGGAGTTTTTGAGTATTTTTAAGTAAGAAAACACTGATAGGGTGGGGAGAAATGCCTGACTTTTAAATGGCAGAGCTGTGCCAAATAAAATAATATGAGCAAAAACACTAAAGACTCCTTCTAATTTTTGGATGAATTGTGCTGAGAATCGTCTGTGCTTCTCTGTCCTTCAAAACCTCAGTAGAGGACACATGGAACACTCTGCCGTGGAAATAAAGAATGCCAATTCAAGATTTGTGTTTCAAATATACTTCTCTCCAAATTCTAAAATCCAATCACTGGGCTGAAAGTAAAACTCAGCCCCAAAGCCAACACTTACTTAGGGGGGGAAAGTAATGATATTGCTACTTCTATCAAAACCAATCAAGGATGACCACTAATATGCTTCCTATTTAATTTATTGGACTAGTGGTATAAGCCAACACAGTTAGACAAGCAAAAAAATAAGAAGTGAAAAACCGTAATAGAGGAGGCAAAGCTATCATTATTCCAGAGACTACAAGTATACACGCAGGAGACTCAACTAAAAACTAAGATCACAGTATAGAAAGTAAGTATAAAGCAATTTACAGCATTCATGGTACAACAGTCATTTGGAAGATACATGGGAGTTAAAGACCCGAGTTATGGTAGGACAAAAATAATACAAAAATAAGTACACTGAATCTATTTAATAATTTAATAAATGTGCAAGACATATATGAATATGCCTGGAGAGCACTTTTGAAGATTACAAAATAACACTTAAACATATGGAAAAGCCTATCTTGTCCTTGGTTAGGAAGAAAAATTATAGAAAGACATCATGCTTTCTAAATAAGTTTATAAGTTAAATCCTATCCCAGAGGAAAAAATACGTTTTTTTCAGGACTCATAAGGGTGATGCTACATTTTATTTGGAAAGCTAACAAAGAAGAACCAAGAAAATGCTTTGTCAAGGGAAAGTGAGATTAAATTATTGGCAGAGAATAACATGCTACACTAAACTCTTAACTACAATAACATAGCAACGTGAAGAGACAGTCCACTGGAATAGAGTAGAAAGTTCAGAGTTAGTCCCTAGTTTACATGGGATTTTAGACTATGATAAAGATACCATCTTATACAAAAGGAAGAAAAAAATGAAATATTTAATAAGATTGGCACAATTTTTTAAAGAAAAACTAAATTAGATGCAAAAGTGATAAAATAACTTTATCGATATGCAATATATATATATATTAGTACACAGATATAAAAAATGAAACCACAAAAATAATAGGAAAAACACGTAAACATTTTTAAAACCTCAAACCTTCTAAAGTAGCATAAAACCTCAAAGTCATTTTAAAAAAATGAATTGACACTACAAAACTAAACTTACACATGGAAGAAAAATCATTGCAAACAAACCCAAAAGACAAATGATAATCTGGAGTAAATATTGCAACTCATCAAAGCTGCTTTCCTTTAATTTCTAAAGAAGCAATATCAATTGATAAGAAAAAGATCAGTCACCTGATAGAAAAATGGGCAAAGCACATGAACAGGGAATTCAGAGAAAGCAAAATATGGCTCAGATACACAGATGATGTTTCAATTAACCCCTAAGGAAAATGTATATTAAATGACAATGAGATACCATTTGTCACCTGGCAGACTAGAAAATAATCCAAAAGTATAACAATATACTTGGTTCTCTGGGAAGGTGTCCACAGGTGGTCACAGAGACGGCTGGTGGGCATATAAATCAGCTTCATTGCTGTGGAGGAAAATTCCACATTCTCACAATTACAAATATATGTACCTTTCCACCTATATATTTCTCTGGTAGAAATACACAACTGATGTACTGCACACCTGGGAAATGACTCACACAACTGGTTTTCATTACAATACTGTTTCTGAGAACGAAGGATTGGAACCTATTTAAATGTTGTTACATGGAGACAGTAACAATGTATTATGGTCCATCAGTATATTCACTTGTAATAATAGCTGGATAAAAATGAGGAAGATCATTACGTAGTGTTAAAGGCCTAGAAAATAAATGGTTAGGTGGAGAGAAGTCAAGTGCCAAAATAATGAATGCAGTAGCTCATCATTTGTGTAAAAGTAAGGTGAAAGATACTTGTATTGGCTTATATACACATACAATTTTTCTGGAGGGACAAACAAAACTAATAACAATTACTTGTTATAAGGTAATGAGAAATGTGGGGGAGAGGTCATCTTCCCATAGAGTTTGATGTTGCATCATGTAAATGACCCATAACCCAATGGAGATGCTAATTTTTTTCAAAAGTGTTTAGCCTCTTGAGAAATAACATGGAAAAATAAGGAGCTAAAGATTTTTGTTTTTTACATGTAACCATTCTGATGTTTTTTCCATATTTTTGTAATATGCATGAATATCCTAAATGTAGATTTATAATTAAAAGGAACAAATACAGAAGACAAAAGAGTCTTTTGAAATGAAATATTTTTATTTGGTATCTCATTAAAGAGAATGATTTATATATATATATATAAATATATTTATATTTCATATAAATGTATGAAAATATATGTTTGCTCTGTAAAGTGCAGGGTTTCTTGATTGGTAAGAGCACCTTATGGAGACATATCTTAAAGGCTTTATTTCGTACATAGAATGACTTCTGGAAACAGTAACAAAAAGAAAATTCATGGGGCGCCTGGGTGTCTCAGTTGGCTAAGTGGCCCGAGTCTTGATTTTGGCTCAGATCATGATCTCACAGTTCATGGGATCAAACCCCGCATTGGGATCTGTGCTGACAGCACGTAGTCTGCTTGGGATTCTGTCTCCCTCTTTCTCTGGCCTCCTCACACTCACATGCAAGCACACGCGCTTTCTCTCAAAATAAATAAAAATAAAAACTAAAAAAACTATAAATAACAGAAGTAAGGGGATAGAAATGACAAGAGAGGGGCGCCTGGATGGTTCAGTCGGTTGAGTGTCTGACTTAGGCTCAGGTCATGATCTCACAGTTTGTGGGTTCGAGCCCCACATCAGGCTCTGTGCTGACAGCTCAGAGCCTGCAGACTACTTCGAATTCTGTGTCTCCTCTCTCTCTGCCCCTCCCCCACTCATACTCTGTCTCTCTGTCTCTCAAAAATGAATAAATCTTGAGATGAATTAAACAAAAACAAAAAAAAGAGAGAAAGAAATGGCAAGAGAATGATTTCTGAGAAGAAAGGAAAAGGTTATGGTTCTGTCTTGCTTGTGCTTGCCCTTTGCCTTGATGTAGGTGGAATATTTAGATCTGGTTTGGGGAAATTGTAGCTGAAGGGCACATGATGCACATTTGACAAATGAGCAGGGTCTCCGGGCCTTTCAGGAAGAGGCACACACAGCAGTGGGGGCTGAAACGTCTGCGGGAAGAGCCTACCAATCTCAAGAGATGGAAAAACAACAGGTGGCCCAGAGGGGAGGCCCAAGGCCTGGTGGTGGCCTGCCCAGCAGCCCTGAGCTCGTGTGCACACATTCATACGGCTCGGGCACGGAGAGAGCCTCCCGCATGCCCCCGTTGCCGCAGCAGAACAAAGGCAGAATCACTTAGGGTTGTTTTCTGCATCTTATTTGATTTTTTTAACCCCCTTCACCTGTTTCTCCCACCCTCACTCCTGGTAACCACCTACCTCTTCCTTGTATCTATGATCTTGTCCTTTTTTTGTTGTTAATGTTTTTATTTATTTCTGAGAGAGAGAGAGAGAGTGAGAGCAGGGGAAAAGCAGAGAGAGGGAGACACAGAATCTGAAACAGGCTCCAGGCTCAGAGCCGTCAGCAGAGCCCAACGCGGGGCTCGAACCCATGAACCATGAGATCATGACCTGAGTCGGACACTCAACGGACCTAGCCACCCAGGCACCCCCTGTTGTCCTTTTTTGATTCCACATAGAAAAGAGATTATACAGTAGTTATTTTTCTCTGGCTTATCTCACACACACACACACACACACCCCACAATTTCTTTATCCATTCATCCATCTGTGGCTATTTTCTGTGTTTTATTAGGACATTTGGGCAGTAGCTACATGGTGACTGGAAATAATAGTGAAAGTAATAGAAAAGGGTAATAGTAATAAAAATAGTTTGCACACAGGTGCAGAGCAGTAGAGACCACAGGAAAACACCGCAGAGAGAACACTCAGGATCTCGATCCCTTTGGCTGGGCTCAGGGAGTGACTGATCTTCAGGTGTTGGCTGGGTTCACATCCTTGTAACGCCCATCACCTTTGGGATTTTTTCCAATAAAATGGTTTGGGATCATTGAGTTGAAAGAGAAGGGCACAGAGTTCAAAAACCAGAAGTATTGTTCCAAAGAGGAAGTCCTGGGGCACCTGGGTAGCTTAGTCAGTTGAGGGTCCAACTCTGTTTTCAGCTCAGGTCCTGATCCCAGGGTCATGGGACGGAGCCACACTGAGCGAGGAGCCTGCCTGAGATTCTCTCTCTCTCTCTCTCTCTCTCTCTCTTTCTCTCTCTCTCCCCTTCTGCCCCTCTCCCACTCATGTACCCTCTCTCTCACTCAAATAAGAAAAAAAAAAGAGTAAGTCCAGTGCACCCAGGTGACAGCAAGTGGGGAGGTCTGGGAGCAGAGACGGGAGACGGATGGAGGAAAATCTCATTAACTGGACAGACCAGATGTCCCAGAGCCTCTTATCCAGCCACCTAGCAGCAGCATCGCGTCTTGCCCTTCCCAGAGCCCTTCCTGCAGCAGAAGCCACCACAGCCGCCACAACTTCTACAGCCACAGCACCCCATGGTGTCAGTAGAGAGGACTCAGGAGAGGGGAGGAGGGAGACTCAGGGGGCAAAGGAGGCCTGATACCGCCTTCTGCTGGGGGAGGCCCTTTAATGCCATCTCCAGGAGGATGATAATGAAGCCACCCAGGACACGTGACAAATGTCTTCTTCCTTATTATTAATTCAGAAAGGAATGTAGAGTGCTTTCTCATTTACATCCTTACTGGAAACATTTAGAGTCTTTACCATGTGGAAGATGGATGGTCCCTTTATAGACAGAGTTCACTTCCGTGGAATAAGAATTATTTCACGTTGCATGTCGTTATCTACAGTGCACAGGTCTGGAAAGTAGCTCACCTGGCCATGAAAGGCTAGGATTAGGTAGCTGGGAAGAATGTGTTTAGAGTCTAGACAATGTCTAGTTCTTTCTTGATGCATAGATTCTTCCCTACATATCAAAACACCTCATAATCAGTTGACAAGTGAGAAAGCAAGGTAAAAGTAGCAACATTGTGAGCTGACCGTTTGATGCCCCTTTACTCTTGATGAGGCTGGAAAACATCACTTTTGGTGGGGAGAGGGGGACTCCGGTGGTTTCTACACCAGGTGGCAGGCTGCACTGGGAATCTTTTCTAAATCTGGGGTTCTAGGACTTTAAGCCACTAAGCACAAAACTCTAAAGAAATTCTGAATTAAGTTCCTTTGGTCACAGCAGTGGGGAGAAGATATTGGCTTACGTCCCCGTCCCCCCTCACCGCCCAGACACTTATATTCCCAGAAATATCTAGATCCCAAACCCGAGTCTCTGTGGGACTTTACAAAGGAAGTTGGCTCGAGCAGGGTGCACACTCGCTGTGTGGACTATGCCCCGACAGCTTGGCAGGGAGGGAGGGGGCGCAGAGGACAAGGAGCCGGCGATCTCAGACACCGGAAGCAGGAGAAGCAGAGATCAGAACTCGTCCAGAAAGGAACAGAATCAGCAGCCCTGAGAAAAGCTAACTTGTCCAATTTGCCAACCTGCTGCATCCCCAACAACAGAAGGAAGGCCATGGCCTGAGGTGGTATTTGATGGAATTACATTTGTTTTGTTCGTGCAGTCAAGCTGCCCTGCTGGTTGAGTCCTGAGCGCTGTGTGACCTGGGAAAAGTTACTTAACGTTTCTTTCTGCACCTCAATTTTCTCATCTATAAAATGGGGACAAGAACAGTCATCCATCATAGGATTGTTGCGAAGATTTAAGGGGTTAAGGTGTGTATCAAGTGCCCAACAGTGCCCAGCACACAAGAAGGGCTCGGTATATCTGGACTGACATTACGGTTAGTAATTATTTTTCTAAACATGAGATGGCCAGGCATACCATTTTCTTGGGCAGCCTGAGTTTTGATGGCAAGATCACATTAGTGGCATTTTGCTAAGACAGTCGCAATTGGACAGACATCATGGTACTGCCTAATTATGTTGCAGAGCGTACATGTGAGTTTGGAAAATGACAGCCATTGCACAAATGGGGAAACGAGAAGCATTGAGAAGAGGCTGTCCGCATAAGATCGAAACTAGTGAATGGTGCTAGTAGAGATTCTATCTAAAATACTAACCCCTCTTATTAATAAATAATCCGGTGCTTAATATGACCCAGGCATTGTTCTAGCCCCTGCAATGAGCTTATTTTTAATCAGAAGTCTTCAAAAAAAAAATCCTCCTTTGTTTTCTATTTGCAGCCAAGAAAGAAATTAAACAGCTCTCCTTACTTCCCATCAGAGTCTGCTCCATCTGATCCTGGCCCAGATTAGAACAACATATGCTGGCTTTATCTAAATTTGCCGGGGGTTTCCTGCTTTAGCACTAAAGAGTAAACTAAAATGTTATTTTATTTGAAAGTATAAAATTTAACTAAATGCTTAAATTTCCATTTTCAGGTGTCCAATGTTGGGAGAGCATATCCCCACCTTTGGTCTGTAAATTTCTAGTCTGAGTTTATTCTGGGGACACTGTAGGAATTGGGGGGATTATAAAAAAGGGTGTAAAACATAGTTGCCAAAGAAATGTAGGCATTTTTGGCAATGGGAAGCAAACCATTCTACAAACTTATCTGAAGTTTAGCTCTTCCAGATCTTCGGCATTTAAAAAAAGGCTGGACTCTGGGGGTAAAACATTATTAGGGAACGGAGCTGTGTCTGTTCCACAGACACTGTTATTTGAGGTATCACATTGAGTACGTCTTGGAGTTTCTCTTCCACAGTCAGGGTGACCCAGACAGCTAAGGGGTGACTCTTGAAGGATTTGAGGAGGCTGAAATACCCACAACAAATTCTTAGAGAATGGGGGGGGGGGAGGCACGACCCACACCCATTTCCTTTCTGCTAAATACAAAATGAGAACTTCAGAGAACACTGTTGTTTCCTTTCCTACCTTTGGAAACAATTATAAGGGCAACTGACCTAATCTAAGAACGTATGTGAGTTTCCAGGTCACTGTATAAAATCCACAGGGCTGCCTGGCGAATGCCCGCCCCGGGAGCTACACTCACAAACAGGGAGAGGAATGCTGGCTTGGAGCCAGCTGCAAATGTCCAGAAGGAGGTGACTCACAAGCACGTTGTAAGTGATACAGCAGAAAAAATGAGGTAGAACGTTAATAATGGCAGCAAAGGGAGGTGGGTAGCTGTATCTTAATCCTCAGAGGCCCAATTGCTTTGGAAATCCTAGAAAGGGAGACTTTTTCAAAGGAAATGATTGGGGGTGGGAAATGCATCAAGCTGTGGAGCTAGGAATTCAAGTCAAACGTCATGGAAGAAAGAGGCAAGTGTGTGCACTGAAAAACTCAACCCAATTAGATGGTCCAAAGGACGTACACCGTGACTTGCAAAAGACTCGTGGCATGAGATCAAAATATGAAGCTAGTAAAATAGTAGCAGGAGTGTGACTGCCTGGTCTTGCCACTAACAAAAATAGGTGCTGAGAAAATCTGAAAACTTCTCCTCTCCAAGAAGCTGTTAAGATGATAGCCACAATCTATTTTTAAGACAAGGAAAAATCAATTCTCTGCAGATGCAAAGGCGGAGGTCTCATTAATCTGTCATAATGAACTCTGCTCAGTCCTTCCTGTCTGCTGCAGATTGCAGCGAGCCACCGCATGCCTCGTTGCTCAATCAAGACGTTCGGCAGGTGTTACAGACCTGCCCTAGAGACCTGCCCTACAGACTGGAACTTTAACATCGCGGATGATGGCGGCTGGCCCTGTGTCCCAGTGGAGCAGAGGACAGAACGCCATGCTCACCTTGTGAATTTCTTTTTTTTTTTTTTTTTGCTAATGCTCTCCTTTTGTGTAAAGACTCCTGTTCTCTCGCTTTTAGGACCACAAAGGTAAGCCCTGACAAACTTTACTTTTCTGCTGGAGAAAGCAGGTGATGAAAGACGTCTTTCTAGTTTTTGCTTCAGACACTGGTTTCGCCAAATAGGAGACCATGCTTGCTTCATCTTAGTAGGGTAAAATAAAATATGGAACATTATTCATTCCAGAGGGAAAAAATTAGAACAGAGAGGGCAATAGCAAAAGAATAATTTGTATAGAATTCTTATTTCTATTCCTTGTGATGGAGAAGGTACACGAAGCAAATAATAATGAAATGTCATTGCTTTGTATAATTTGCCCAAGGTTGGAGAGGGTCTGCAACATTTACTCAAAGTTGTATACTAGTAAGTGTAATAGTAAAGGCAAAGCATCTTTGAAACAACCTCAGTCTGCTAGCAGCATTCAGCAGCAGGCTGCAACAGAAGGGGTCTATGCCTCATAGCATCCAAAGGACAGAGCCGGCTGTCAATGCAGAAGCTCTTCCCCTACGTCTGAACTTTCAGTTTGGAAACCATTACAGCTGGGAATTAAGCACTACATCCCTGAAAGCCTGACAAATCTTAGATGCCGCTAGCAGTAAATGATCTCTTCATCCCAAGGAATAGCTTGTGGAGGGCTTAAACTACTCAACGAAAACCTCTGTAAATGTCCACTGAACTGATTTCAAGAATGCGTGCTGCATTACTCAGCCATGAAAAGAATGAAATCCTGCCATTTGTGACAAAATGGATGGATCTAGAAAGTACAAAGCTAAGTGAAATAAGTCAGAGAAAGACAAATTCCATATGATTTCATTTATATGTGGAATCTAAAACACAAAACAAATAAATGAGACAAAAAAGAAACAGACTCACAGATACACAAAACAAATGGTTGAGGGGGAAGGGCTGGGAAAGGGGCAAAATAGGTGAAAGGGATGAAGAGGTGCAAACTATCAGTTTTTAAATAAACAAACCATGTCAATGTATTGTACAGCATAGGGAATATAATCAATAATGTTGTAATGACTTTGTATGGTGACAGATGGCAACTATACATATTGTGAGGATCATTTCCTAATGGTATAAAAATATCAAATCACTGTGATGTACACCTAAAACTAATAGGATGTTGGGTGTCAATTATTCTTATTCTTCAATAAGAAAAAGAGATTGTGGCACCTGGGTGGCTCAGTTGGTTGAGCATCCGACTATGACTGAGGTCATGAAGTCTCAGTTCATGAGTTGAGCCCTGCATTGGGCTCTGTGCTGATAGCTCAGAGCCTGGAGCCTGCTTCAGATTCTGTGTCTCCCTCTCTCTCTCTCTGTTCCTCCTCCGCTCGTTCTCTCTCTCCCTCTCTCTTAAAAATAAAGATTAAAAAAAAATAAAGAAAAAGGGTCTGCATGCTGCATATATTAGCAGTAGAGATAATACATGACATTTAATGACACACATCACTTTAGATGGCAACCTTAAGCTGTACGCCACACAGTGGAAATTTGGGGAGGGGCCGGCATGGACAGAGGAGGTGGGAAACAAGACTGTGGAACAACTTGAAAAGAGTAAGAGAAGGGAATTTCAGAGCAGCACGCCCCACCCTGCAGGTAAAAGATTTCAAGCTTTACATCCTTACAGAACTGGATTCTAAACTGCATGACCCCAGGCGAGAGCCACATTATCTCTCCCAGAATGTCTGCCTGCCCATCTGCCAAGTAGAGACAATATCTACTTTGTGAACTTTCTGAGGATTCAAAATAAGGCATTGAAAGCATGTAGTATAAATGCCTACCCAGGAATGTATTCGGTTAAATGGCACGTACAGAGATATTATTTTTACGTGCTTGTTGATAGTATGTGTTAAGAAGCATTGATTTGGTTTTGATAGAGGATTGCATCCTTGGAGCACATGCTGAGCACTCAAAATCTCAGGACATGTGGACAGACCGGTAAAGCCAGATTCAAGTAGGTCGCTAGAAGTCATGATTATGAGTGGTTATTCAAAGGTACCAGAAAGAAGAGGTATCAGAAAAAGACAGGTTTCATTTGACTACCCATGTGCTTCCAGGGGGTATGGAAGGGCTTAAAGTCTTTTGTGGGCTGAAGAATTTCAGATATTTGGATGCATAAGTCATTTAAACAGTGTGGCCCTGCCACACTCACCTAGTGCAGCCCTAAACCTGGCAGCGTGCAGACCTAACCCTCAGGGGCTCCCTTTTTGGAAAAGTGGTCTGGGCAGAGGTATAGGAGTGGTCCTCAGCTTGGCACTGGGGAGCATAGGAATTTGGAGAATCTCTGAGAAGCAGCTGAAAATTACATCCAGGACTGTCCAGAACCTTCTCTTGGAAGGGGACTCCAGGAACTCCATGAAAGCTGGGGAAAACCCTGATGGAGAACTCAGCTATTCATCCAGTAGACGAGATAAGGAATGCAAAATCACCAACAGAAAAATGTACTCCAAAAAAACCCCTTAGAATGAGGGTCTTTTCCATACAGATGGGATCTAAACATAGACAGGCAATGGAGCTTAAGGCATTGGTGTGATTATTGTAGAAATAATAAGGGAAAGAAAGAAAGAAGAAGGCTGGGATATTGTGGGGAAAAAAACAGAGATATCCCAATGGAGCTAAGGAATGGTATAGTCACAGTAGCTGGTGACATAAGCAAGAAGAGATGGTTGTAGACACAGCCAGATGACTGAATCCCTTATTAGAGAGAGAATACAGTATGGCCATGAGAATGGGGAGCCGAGATAGAATAGGAGAAAAAGGGTCCTCGGAAATGAGAAGCCTCAGGAAATGGGAAGATGAGACATATGTCAGGTGGATATTGAAGAACAATAAGATAACAGCAGGACTTGGGATGAAAAATTGATGTCAAGGATTTGGACAACCAAGGAAGAGAGATGGGGATGTCCGTGATAACAGCAACTAGACCGCAAGAAAGTGGTCAAGTTAAGTGAGTTCCCCAAAAATGAACATTTTCATTTTCTCTCAAAGGGTTGGGAATAATTATCTGGAGGCATCATTGAGGGTCAAGGACAGTATCAAATGCCACATGCAAACACCTGAGATCACAGCTAGAAAATGATGAGGCTAGTATTTGATCTGAAGATCCTGGAAAATACTAGCAGCATAATGGTTCTCCTTATTAGTTGGGGCAAATCATTTCTATCTCCCTTCTCCCTCAATATCACCCCCCTCCATCTCTATATTCTTGCCTGATCCTCGCACTTTTGCCTATTTCTCTCCTCCTCTCTCCAAAGAAGCTGTAGTCCTCTCCCATCCCCATCAAGTGGGAGATTGGGTTTCTTCCATTATATTGATCTCAGATTTTCTCAAGCCAAAATTCAGAGGGTGGAGGAATTTCAACTTCTCCAGGACAGTGGAAATAGCTGCAGATCCATGGAAATCATGGAGAAGAAAAGACCAGAAGTTCAGCTCTGAGTTCAACTGTAGCTGTGCAACAACCCACGGTCAGGCTGAACAGAAATACAATGAATGAAAGAAGAGAAGAGGCTTCCAGATACCTCCCAGCATGGTTCCACAAAGGCTCCACAGAGAGCCATTTCTTCAGCCACCTATACAGAAAGACCTAGAAAACCCTAGAAGCATTCCATACGAAAGAGCATATCCTTACTCTCTGTGAAGTAGAAGTAAATAGAAAACAGACATCTCAACCTGACCACTGGCAAATAGTTTTCATTGTCATCATTCATCTTTACTGATGTTAATTCAGTAAGATCTTAAGTAAGAGCTTTATTGATAGAAATTGGATGAGCATTTACTTTCCCTCGAAGAAGAGAACAGTCAATCTAATAGGTCCCCAAAGAAATCAGTCTTCATGTGGGCCCACCTTATGAAGGGACAGAGTGAGTGGGTGGTAGATAACATGGAGTAATCTGGATGGCCATCCCTCCCAAAGCTCTTCACCCACGGAAAGCCAAAATTCCGCCCAAGGTTACTCACTCTTTTCCAGGGAATATCATCTTCTGTGGTAGACATTATTTCTAAACTCCCTTCGAAGTGAAATCATCAGATGACTAGGTGATTATTACTAGCAAGTGTGTGTGAATACACTTACGGAAATACTTGTATCTGTCATTGTAGACTGCGCTGCTCCCGCTAAGAATACCAGAAGCCAAGTCCTTAACACATGAATTCTTTAACACAGCTCATCTATTTTCAGGCTTTGTTTTATATCTAAGACCACACACACACACACACACACTCCCTCTCCCCGTTATTTCAATGGTGAGCAGGACAGGAGGGACCTTGTGATTCAAGGAGAAAAGATAAACTCTGAGAGACTCAGGAGGGGAAGTCTACTCAGAAGGTAGATTTTTATCTTAAGTTCATTCACCTCACAAACGTCTGTGCTTCCTTGTCCCTCTTTGGTTGTCCCTCGGCAGCTCAAGATTATCCCCACTATCACCACCCTCAGGGCCTCCTCCCTCCTGCATGCACAGAAGACCCCCTGGGGTGACATTTGCCTGAATTTGCTTCCACTGTGTCCTTGCAGGTCAGCCTGCTCAAGAGAAGCTCCCCTGTGAGATTTGGAAGGTGGAAATTTTTTAAAAAGTGGCCAGGATTTTCCAAGACAGTTACCTTAATTACAGTAAAATCCAGTGTAGAATTCCTTCTCAGAGAGGCCTTCGGATAAATATAAATACTAATTCCCAAATAACATATAAATCCTAACTTCCTGAAGCCTGGAAGAATATTCCCTAACATACCTGGGTGTATAAAAATAAAATATGATTACATTTAAACAGTTACTGGGAAGTGTCAGATATTGCACTTTTAAACCCAGGAATGCAAGCGGAGATTTTTCCATAAATTCACATAGTGCTTAGATTATGTGGGTCCTGTCAGAACTATTTTATAAAACACACTGGTTTTTGCCATTTTAAAACATAATATATATAACTCCTATTGGCTCTATTGCTCTGGAGAACCCTGATGGATACAATAATCAGTCTTATACTATATTCTTTGATAGCACTAGGTAATTTATGCAAAAAAAATGTTAATTG